GGAATCGATTGAATGGCAAATCTCCTGCTTTCAAAGGGAAGACCTTGACTAGTAGCCGGCTGACTTACGAATACCAGCACAACTAAAATAAAGAGGTGGCTTGGTTCACCGTCTATCTTTGCTCTTAGGACAATGGGATAGCAATGCAGATGAATTTTCAGATTCAAAATCGAGTCAAGGGAGAAGGCACAGTGCTGCTGATCTTTTGAGCTATGCAAGAGCATCAAACATTAGAGTTGCAGTGTATGCCAGTGTGGAAAGGATACAACAGGCTTCCTCTTCAGCCAATTCGGGGTCAAGGCAATCTGCTATTGGGGTGGTTTATCGCGATGAACTGGGCGGATACCATCACGCAACGGTACGCCAAAACAAAATGGTGAAGTGGTGCTCTCAGCTGGTGCCATTGGGAGTCCACAGCTGCTGAGGTGGCGTAGTGATCGGTCATTTCATTGAATGTGTTCAGGATATGGCCCCTGGCCTCTTTCTGTTCCTGCGCTTGGCCTTTGAGTTGCCTTCACACGGCCGACAAAGACAGATCTTCACATAGCGTACAGGAAGTCGAAAGGAAGTACCAGAGCCCTTACTTTCCGCTTTGAGCTGAGCAAGCAGCTGAACCCATTGCCCTAATAGAATAGAATGGGGCTAGTTGGCGGACTTGATGTCATCTAAGTCAACTGGGGAAATCGGCTCTTCTCCTCTTTCTATTCTATAGCTATAGCTGTCTATTGAATAGTGAATAGAGGTCGATTCCAGTGGAAGAATAGAATCAAGAATCAATTGAGCTCAACCTTAGCACTAAGCGTCTTCAATCCTCTCCTTTCAGTCTGCTCATCAAACTCGCACCTTCGAACCAAACTCTCAATCTCTAGGGCTTGGCCAGCTCCACCAGCTGCCTTTATCAGCTGCTCTGGTTCCCTTCCCGAATGCGAATCTCTATCTCTTTGCGGCTACAGCCTATTCTAATAGGACCCATATTCAATCTCTTAAGTGACTTCTGAACACTAGCTAGCTCTGGACCAACCTATCTTAGCCATGAGCGATCACCAAGCGGAGTTGAAAGAAAAGTGAAAACAAAGCCTTCATCCAGCCGCTGGCTTTAGGCTTGACAGGAAATGCTGACTACAGCTTAGATCAGAGAACACTCGGATACTGCTAGCTTGCCTCGAAACGACTTGCATGGCTGACAGCAAAGCACCTGATTCACTCGTTACGCTAACCACTGTCCCTGAAGTGAAGCCAGGGGAATCGAAGGGGATAGTTACTGTCGACGAGAGAATAGAGATCAATATATTACTTATGATTCGTATGTATAAGTAGAAACTGAGGGGGAATTGGGATGGATTGCTTGATTAGTCCTATAAAATATATAAAAAAACTACCTAATAAAGACCCTTCGGAAAGGCTGAAAAGAGCCTTGTTGCTTGTGACGCTCTGCTGCTCGTGAAGAGCTAGATCCATAACACTCACACCTGGCTACTCGCTCTGTTGCGGATTTAGCTTAAGTGTCCCCTTCGACGGATTCTTTAGTTAAAGCTACTGATGCCCTAACTTAACCTGCCCCACCTTTAGCCCTTCCTTATCTTTAGAATGACGTATGATACGCATTGCTTCTTGCTTTGCTATGAGAGTGAAAGCTGCTCATAAAGGTTTCTTTAGTAAGAGGCTATGCCTTTGACGTTCTTCATTGGCTTGGGTGCAGGTCACCCCCTTCTAAGGCAGATCCGTAAGAAGCGATGGGATTCCAGGTGATGAAAGAAGGTGTGATTGAGTAAGTGAGAAGTTAGGTTCTCGGAGTTACCACGGTGCAAGTCTTAGGTTGGCCTACAAAAAAGTAAGGACTGCCCGCAGGTTAGTCTGACCCCCCACCTTGCTTCTCTAAAGTTGTGAAAATGTTCGTCTACCCCGTTTGGGCTATTTCTTCTTATCCCGATTTTCTCTACTGGTAAAATATCCGCTTAGTCAACTCAAGGTAGGGCTGTCTACCGAAATTAGCCTATTTGATTGAAGCGAAAGTTAGGAGATATAGGAGAACCGTGGGTTGAGGACTAAGGGCATGATCAAACCGTCTTTTCGGATGAGTACTTTGCTTCGGTACCGGGCTCAAAAGTCTGACAAATGAAGTTCACTCTACATTGACTGTATCAACGATTCCATAAAAGGAGAGGAAAGCGACCTTAATCAGTCCATTTCCTCCATCCCTGGAGGCATAGGCATAGACGAAGAAAGCAGAAGCATAGGAGGGGATTGAACGAGGGATGCATCTTCTTAGCTCTCAAGCGAGGAAAGGGTAACTTGTAGCGAAGAATCCTGTTTTCGAATTCACTCTTTGCTTTGAAGGAACCAGGCGCAAGGGAACCAGTTTGAAGGCGCAGATGAAGAAGGGCTGCGTTCAAGATTTCACCAGGCCCAGGTTCTTGGAGTCACCATTCGCCCTGTTATTATTACCGCTGCCATTTTTCGTGGGAATCCAGCTTACACTGAAACCAGATGCCATAAGGAGTGAAATAGAGGCGGACACGTAGGGAATTGACGTATTAAAGGAAGCGAGGGACTGATAAGGTGCTAGGCAAATCTCCATCAGTGCGAATGCTCCATCTGCTCTAAGTGGGCGAACCACCAAATTAGAGTCACCAACCACTTTTCACTTTTTGATCTTCATTTCTTTAGCGATAGACAACCCTATCGCTAAGGCCTCATATTCTGAACTGTTATTAGAGCATGGAAACTTCAAATTTAAGGATTTTGATGTTGACTCTCCTTTTGGTGATTTCAAAACGATTCCTACACCACCTTCTTCCTTGGCTGTGGATGATTCATCAAAGTATAAGGTCCATAGCCCCTCTTCTACTGTTGCAATCTGTTCTATCTCACCAGGAATTTCTTCAGAAAGCTCGATAGGGTCTTTTGATGGGCCAGTAGATCTGCAAAAACTTGCCCCGGAGTGACACATTCTATGTCAAATTCTGACAGCTGTAACAACCATCGCGCTGTCCTTCCCGCCACACCAACCCTCGCCTTGACAGCAAGTACCTTATCGGATTAGCCCCCAGAACCAACTTTATCTTATGCGCCAGCATATATATAATGTCTTAACTTTTGGGCTGCATAACATTAATATATACATATAATACTTTGTCAAAGAGAAACTACCCGGAATCACACATACCCATTTTTTTTTAATGAAGTAGGGTAGCGAGCCACAGTGGCGACTGAACGATCTGAAACATAGCTAGGCAAACGTCCACTATGAACCCGCATCGAAGAATCAACATGATTCAAATCCAAAAACAAAAAATGACTACTACATAATCAACTGACGCACGCGCAAGACGCCAACAATCAGCTGAAGCATCAACAATGTCCCCATCCAACGAAAAGAAAATAGAACATCATTGAGAGTACTTCAACCAATAGAGGCCAGCAAGTAGACCATATAACTAGTAGGATGAATAATAATACGAATAAGACAAACGAGAATCAGCGGGGGTTTCTCTCCAAACAGAAAAGCAAAAGCTCCCAATGCGAGGAGGCATACATCCCATAGACGCCTCGGGCGAGGGCATTCAGCGATGGGATTGAGAAGATATGGAAGCAGATTCTGTGATCCCTGCAAGGTCAATCTCATAGGGGAAGTAAACTAGTGCACTTAGCGGCTTTCAAACGACTTTCTAAAGGAAGGAAAGAAAGCAGAAGGTATTCCATGTGGATCAAACGATAAGGATTAGAGCAAGTTCCGTTCTCGTTCTCCGAGGGTGAATCAAGAAAAGCAGTTCCGTGGGTTCAGTTTGCTTAGAGAAAGCCTAGAAGTCATAAGGAAAAGGCACTGTACCGGCAGCGAACTCTAAGGTTTGGCTTTTTCTTTTATTTACTTTCTTTAGTCAATGTCGCATTTCGAGTGCTTGGTTAGATCTCCTAACCTAATGAATGTAATGAACGAGAAGATGCGGTGAATCAATCAGTATTAGCTAAGGAAAGAATTCGAATTCTGGGGAAGATAGGAAATCTTTCTTTATAGGAAAGATTTCTAGGGAATCTGTGCTTACTAAGCCTTTCAAGACTCACACGAGACCCAGGATGGAAGTAGCGAAATCAGCAATAGAAGAGAAAGCCGTATGGAGAGCGTTTTTCACTTGTTTTGTTTTGATTGGTGGATCGGTCAGGGTGGGCTAGGTCTTTGTTGATAGAAAGCGCCCCGTAGAGTTTCACGGGTCTATCTCGTTGCCATATTGTCGGGCAGGGTCTCCCACTCGTTCTAGGATCCTTCCTTGAATTAACTCGTTCTGGGCAACTTTAATAGTTGTTCACATGACTCCCTGATCGCGATGCGCGGACTTTGCTTTTCTAACGATTGGAATCGATCGAACTTGCTCGTGCAATTTGACTTTCCTTATCCTTTCCAGTCCAGTCCTTCGAGTACGTGATTTGTGGGAATCTCAACCAACCCGGCTCGCTTCCTTGATTTGGTGTCCCTCTTGCCATTCCAATCAATATCCTTCAATCTCTCCAAAAAAGGCATGGCACGCTAGAGATGATTGAACGACAGGACCGGTATAGATAGATGATCCGCGGCAGAGAGGTATCTATATTCCACTATGTGATGAACGAGAAAGCACGAGCACGACTGAAGTGGCTATACATACAAATCCATTTACGGATATATATGCTCCGATTGGGTCAAGATGCGGGAGGACTTCACTGGCAAAGATTGAGGTGAGGGTCGCGCCCCTACTCGTCTAAGGAACAAGCAACGAGCAAGCAAGAAAGCAAGAAAACGGGGCAATCAAACTAGGATGTTAAGCGGATCATAAGAGAAGTGAATGCTATAAAGAGTACAGGTGCATGCGTGCGAATAATAGTAGAGGTGGAAGGGGTGGTAGGAGCTAGTTGGCAACCAAAAGCAGGGGAACAAGTAGGGCAGTTGACCACCCCGAAAGCAGGGCAAGTAACCCAAAGCATCGGCTTGGAAATAGATTGGTAGGAGGTTTCATCTCTATTGTTCT